AGAAAAAAAAAGATGAAAACGCAGCTACAAAAGCCTCCTGACGGCCGCTCAGCAGCAGCCACGGCTCGGAGGCACTGGAGGTCCTGTGGTCCCTCCGGTGGATGCGAGCGATCCGCAGAGTAGGCGCTGGTGAAACCCTCCCCGGATACGATGTTAAAAGCCCAGGACACCACACGGGGCCGGGAAGAAACGAGCTAGGCCCGGGAAGAAACGAGCTAGGCCCGGGGCGAGTCTAGCATCCAGTTCTCCAGGGGAGCCCAGCAGGAGGCCGAGGCTGGAGGGGGTGCGTGGCCGCCCGGGGGGCTGCCCCCATGAGCGCAAAGGTCACGGAGGCGGCGACCTTCGGGGGTCCGGGGCGCCGGGGGCTGGGACGCCGAGGGGGTTACCTGCAGAGCTCGGCCTCCAGCCCCGGAGAGACCCCCCGGAAGCTCGTGGGCCAAGTGTGGCCGCCTCCTCCCGGGCCTGGCGGAGAGACCTGGGCTCCGGCCCCAGCCTGGACCCCACAGCCGCCCGGAACCACCAGGACCCGGGCCCTGGCGGAGAGCCCGCAGTAGCAGCAGCGCGGCCGCCATGATGGCCTGGAACCCTCGCCTGCGCGTCCGGGATCCTCCTGGCGCTCCTGCGCGGTCAGAGAGGGCGGGGCCTTCTCCGGCGCCTGCGCGGTCGGGCGGGCCTCCTCAGAGCGCCTGCGCGGTCGGTGCTTTCCCCCGCCCCCGCGTCCGGCGTCGGGGGCCGCTACCCGCCTCTCCCCAGTCAGCCTTGGTCTTGCTCGCCGTCCCCCCGAGCCTGCGACAGGCTGAGCGCTCTAGACATTCTCGACGCCCCTGTTTCGCTTCCAGGGCCTGACGTGGGTCGTGGCCGCGCGGTCCCGCTCCCCGGCGCTGGGGGACGGGGGGGTCGCGCCCTAGCGGCGGGCAGCGGGACCCAGGCGAGGGGCGGGAGTGCTGGCCATGGGGGGCCCGATTTGGGCTTCCTGCCGGCGGAGGCCTGGGGAGCGCCGTCCCAGACAGGAAGGCGACCGTCGTTCCCTCCTGGAGGAGCCCGAGAGCAGAAGAGCCGAAGCCGCCGCAGGAAGGGCCGCTCCGGAGGAGCGCGAGAGGCGGGCGCCGGCGCCCCGCAGCCGGCTGGGAGACCCCTGCGCGCATACCCCGCTCTGTGCAGACTGCCTGGCAAAACTCCCGTCCTGTCCCTCAGGGGCCTCTCCGGGGAGGGCCTGCCCAGCCCGGCGGGGGTCACCCAGTTCGTGGGAAGCAAGTCGGGATTCAGGGGGAGGGAGCTGCTCTGCCTGAGTCAGGGCCAGGGGGAGTCAGGATGCAGGGGGAGGGAGCTGCTCTGCCCCGTGTCTGCAGCTCTGGGGGAGACGTCACTCTGGCTTCCCAACTCTCAGTCCTCAGCCCCCCACCTTCTCAGACCCTTAGGTCGGTGCTGACGGCTCAGCTCTGTGCCTGCCGATTGCCTGCAGCGGCAAAGCTTGTTTAGGAAGAGCATATTCTACTGCCTTACAGAGGCAGGGTGGCGGCAACTCTGCGTCTGCTTCCCAAGGCCATGACAGGATGCCCTGTGCCCATCCCTGAGTGCAGACCAGTACCTGCTCCACACAGCATTTCGCAGTCACAACCCTGGGGAGGGAAGGCTTTTCACATCTCCATTTCCCAGACGAGGAAACAGATTCAGAAGAATGAAAAATCAAGACATGATGGAGCATCTCCGCTTGTCTGACGGTTCTGGTTGCCACTCTATCCACCCTTAAGACTAGACTGTAGAAGTTTTGTGTAGAAACCCCTTCCCTCAGTCCCAAAGGCAGAGAGTTTAAGTGTCCTGAGTGTAGGTGGCTAGGGGGTTTCCTGTGGCTCTGTGGAGAGGGCGCCTGGCCCAGGGCTGCCTGTTTTCACAGCTGCACCGCTTTCCTTGTTTCTGGTGGTGGTGTTCTACAATCTGCCTTCACAGCCAGTCCATCCTTCCCCCTTCCTCCTCCACTATTTTTTCTTTCTCTGGTTAAAAGGCACAAGATGGACTCGGTCAGCCAGTGATACCCTGTCACTGGACCGCCCACGCTTGTCTTACAGCTCCCTGTGTCCTGCCCTCACCCTAGCCCCAGCCTCCTCCAAAAAGGGTTTCTCATGCCCTAGGACGTGTCCAGGCATGACACAAATGAATTTGGATGTGTTTGCAAGAGTATGAGATGAGATCCTATTAATATTGTCTGAAATAAAATCGTTACTGCAGACTAGCCTCCTTCTCTGGCGATTCATCAGAAGCAGTGGGTGTTGGCAAGAGGAGCCTTGGGAAAGAGCGATGGATCCCTTCCTAGGCCTGTGACCTCATAGGTGATTAACTTCCCCAAGCCTCAATGTTCTCACCAGTGAGATGGGGATGGTAATTACCTGCAAGGCAGGCTAATGTCAGCCTTGGGTTTCCCACAGGTTCTCATGGAAATAAAATGCAGTATGTGGAAGGGCAGCTTTTCTCTTTTTTTTTTTTTTTTTTGAGTTGGAGTTTCACTCCGTCGCCCAGACTGGAGTGCAGGGGCACTCTCCCAGCCACCGCAGCCTCAACCTGCTGGGCTCTGGTGATCCTTCTGCATCAGCCTTCCAAGTAGCCGGAACTACAGGTGTGCGCTACCACGCCCGGCTAATTATTTTTTGATTTATTGTAGAGACGAGGTCTTGCCAAGTTGCCTCGGCGGGTTTCGGACCCACGGGTTCAGGCAATCCACTCCCTCGGCCTCCCAAAGTGCTGGGATTACAGACTGAGCCACCAAACCTGGCCCTTCTTTTTTTTTTTTTTGAGTTAGAGTCCCTCACTCTGTTGCCCAGGCTGGAGTGCAGTGGCATGCTCACGGCCACTGCAACTTGGACCTGCTGGGCTCAGGGGATCCTTCTGCCTCAGCCTTTCAAGTAGCTGGAACTACAGGTATGTGCCACCACACCTGGGAATTTTTTTTTTAACTGCAGAGACGGATCTCGCCAAGGTGCCTAGTCTGGTCTTGAGCCTGCGGGCTCAGGCAATCCTCTCATCTTGGCCTCCCACAATGCTGGGATTATAGTCATGAACCACTGCCCCTGGCTGAGACAGCTTTTTAACCAGGAAGCTGGCAAGAGAAAGGAGGGAAAGGAGATGGGAGACAGTATTTGCTTCTCAGACTCATGTATAACAGCTAGGCTTTGAGGGCTGCTGTGTCCCAGGCCCTGCAGGTGAGCAGTGACTGTGACTCACTGCAGTGACAGGGAGCAGAGGCTGGCATCGCCTCATGCAGTAGGGACTTTGTGTGGGGATCTAGGTGCTCCTTGATTCTGCCCAAGAAAAGAAGGATCTAAGACAGCATGGTGGGTGGTGCATCTGTCCACTGTTAGGATGTGTCTTCCCTCCGCCCAGCACCCATCATGCCCTCTATTCTTTCTCCACTTCCTGACTCCTGTTGACGCATTTGCATTTCCTTGTGACCCCTCCTCAGCCCTCTGAACTCTGTACCCCAGGACATCTTGGCCTGGCTTCCCTCACCACCAGTTCCCTGATGTTTGCCAGAGGCCATCTCAGGGTGGTTCCTGTTTCAGTCAGGGCACTGTCAGGCCTCAGAGCTATCCTGACCCCAGTGTCTGGGGTAGCCCTTTCCTCCTGGGCCTGAGAAAGAAGGTGAGTACCTACCTCCACCCCATTTCTCCATTGACAGAAGAGTCCTGGGCTGTGTGCCCTGCTCCAACAGTGGATGAGGGCTCCTGGCAGGCCACTCTGGGATCCTCAGCTGCCTTATCTGTAAACAGTGATGGGGCTTGGGTACTGTGGAGGCAGAAGAAGCTGGTCTTGTAGGTCTTTCCTAGCTTTAAGATCTCAACTTCCTTATTATTATCTGAGCGAGGAATTATGTCCTTGCTTCCTCCCACCTTGGGCAGCAGCCTAGCATCTCACCTTTTCTTCTTCTCGAACGTGGTTGCTTGCACAGCTTCCCTGGCGTCTTCAGCTCTGGGACTGCTGCACACATAAGTGCCATACCACAGTCACAGCTGGCGAGCTGTCCTGCTGCAGCTAAGCCATGCAGGCAGCAGCCAGATACACATCCAGCGTTGGGATGTCTTCCATAGAATGTGCTACCTCGTGGAAAGTTTGAATAAGCAAGTTAATCATGGTGCATTTTGGTAAATTTTGTTTCTGAACTAAAGATCTTTCTTAGAAAATAATTTCTTCTAATTAGTCAGGCATGGTAGCATGCGCCTGTGGTTCCAGCTACTTGGAAGGCTGAGCCCAGCACATTGAGGCTGCGGTGGCCGTGAGCGTGCCACTGCACTCCAGCCTGGGCAACAGAGTGAGACTTACAAAAAAAATGAAAATAAGACAAATGGGCTGTTGGCCTGTCCAAGTTCTTTGACCACTGGGGGCCTGCACTGGCTGGAAACCTAGGGCCCCTCATTCCCCAGTGAGAGTTCAGATTCCCCCAACAGGCCTGTGGCCAGGAGGGAAGGGACATCTCTGGGTGTTCAACTGATACCCACTCCCAAAAGCAGCTTGACATGTCTCTGACCCCAGGGGGATTTGTTAGAGTGATAAGATGTTTGAGGCAAGCAAAGTCTGGGGGGCTGTCCCTGTCTGCAGCTGAACTTACCGTGCAGTCAACAGTGTTCCCTATCTGCTTGTCTCAAGGTGTAGTCCACAATCAGATTGGTTGTATCTTCACTGTGTGATTCACAGCCTCCAACTATCATTGCCACCAACTATCAGCAGCACTGGTCCCTGATGCCTGCTGGACAGAACTTGTGACTAGGTCACAGGTTATCACTGGCTCATCTTGGCTCCCGGTGGCCCATGGCCATGACAGGTTTTCAGCAAATCAGGTGGACTTGCTGCTGTGGAATCCCCACAAGTCACGCTGGAATGGGGACAGCCACGACCACCGCGCAGAGGTTCACAGCAAGTATGGGAGCCTCACTCCAGCCCTGGCTGTCCACAGGATGAAAGAAACTTTGCTTTGGTCCACTAAGAACTTCCAGGTCCCTGTTCTGAGATGGCCAGTGCACTCTCAGATGTCTTGTAACACAGAACTGAAAGAGAATTGTTCCAAGGGAGGACTAGAAAGCAGAAGAACCAGGGAAGTACCAGAGCGCTATTGCCCCAAAGTGGACATCAAGGAAGTAAGGAGAGAATGGGCTTTTGGGGCGGCTGCAGAGGACGAGGAAACTGGAGGGAAACTTATAGGATAACACGGGTTGTCTTTAGCAGAGGTACTGCATAACCACCCAGCATAGAGCAATGTTCTGGGTGCTTGGGGCACAGCAGGGAACAGAGGAATAATGCCTATCTTCAGTGAGCTTCCCTTCTATTAAGGGGAGAGATACAAAAAATAAGTCATGTTAACAAACACATAGTGTGCGAGAAGGCATGAGCGGGCATGGAGACCAGGCCTGCAATGGGCAGTCAGGGCAGACTTCACAGGAGGGGACTTTTTTTGTGTGTGTATGAGTTGGGGTCTCACTCTGTTGCCCAGGCTGGAGTGCAGTGGCACACTCGGGGTCAACCCAGTGTCGACCTGCTGGAAGGGAATTACTTATTTATTTATTAAAGTTATCATTTTTATTTTATTTTTTATTTTTTTGAGTTG